GAACGATAATACAGACTACCTTATTCAATAGAAACAAAATAACAAAACAATGAAGCAGAGAAACCTAGCCATAATAMAATAGATTGTGTTACACACAAAAAGACCCTATAAAAATCTAAGAAGCACCAAGTTTTTTTACGAAATAAGCGTTCTTTCTTATCGAGAATGCTTTGGAAAACATCCAATAAGGTGCCTGTTCATTGAAATACACTCGGCGAGTTGCATGGGAAATAAGTATTGCTTTTTAGCTCTAAACACAACAATACTGATTTCTTCAGCCGTYRAAAAGTCAATCCCATAGTGCATTTCGCCGAACAAAGCATGRCGTCATTAGGTCTATTTTAAGTGCTGACTTATTTGAAATTACTGAAGTCCATTCTTAGTSTGATTGACGGCTGTGCAGGGGCTACTTTAGGCTGTACTTTTGGTGCTTTGGCTTGATTTGAAGCCTGGTGTGCACGAATAGCTTTCTCTAATTGCTGTTTGAGTTCCGGGGATAATGTCATCACCGCTTTGAACGGCTGTGGATATTTGGGGCCTATTTTCATGAGCCTTTGTAAACAATGTTCATTCAAAGACTTTGTGATCTTATTGGTTGATGGGGTGTCCAATAGGAAGTGCACAAGGATTGGAATTAGAATGCTCAGTAAATGTACTCCTTAAGATGGAAACAAATAAAAGAAATGAGATTTAAGAAATTAGGAATAAATAATAATTAATAACATTATCTTGAATATTCACAGTCAAAGACAATTGAGTCAAGGTACTTACGTAATTGCTCCTCTGTAAGATCGATCAAAAGTTCCAAAGTCTTGATAGCTTCAATGAAAACTGCAAGTTGAGACTCGGTGTTGGGTTTGTTAAAGCAAGTATCGTTCAAAACCATGACAATGTGAGGAGCAATAGCTTGAATAAASGGTATCGAGACWCCACGATCTGGACATTGRAAGATTGAAGATACTGTCTGGAAAGCCTTCAGTTGAACCTGAAAGTAACACAATTAGCGTTCTGKCACTAAARCTAAAATCCTGTTTTGATGAATATCTGGTACCTGCGAGTCCGCTGACTTGACGCAMCGTCGGAACACATTTATGGAGTGTTCCAGTAAATTTCCCGCCAAAATGACATCTCTTGGTGCAGAGAGAATGAAAATTGCTAGGGCAAGCATCACTACTGACTCATCCATTACTTGTGGTTCTGGATAATCGGTTTGGTCAGCTTTAGCAGCGTCTAGTATTGTCGCCAATGTACTGAGAAAAATTAATTGAAATTGAAATTATATATAAACATTGTTTAGAAAGTATCATTCTTATTAATATTATTCTTGCAGATGGTAATAGTTTTTACTAACTCATGATTTCTTATACTACACTATCCTATGCTATCCACTGGTGTACTATGCTATTCTATGCTAAGCTATCCTATATACTACTATTCCATCTTATGCTTTTCTATGTTTTCTTATACTATGCTATTGTCTGCTATCGTAATCTATCTTATGATTTCTTATACTACATTATCCTATGCTATCCACTGGTGCACTATGCTATTCTATGCTAAGCTATCCTATACTACTATTCCATCTTATACTTCTATATCATGTTTTCTTATATATCCTATCCCCTGCTATCTTAATCCATCCTATTATTTCTTATGCTATGCTATCCCCTGGTGTCCAATGTTATCCTGTGCTAAGCTTTCTTGTACTACTATTCCATCTTATGCTTCAATATGAAGTTTTCTTATAGTATATGTTATCCCCTGCTATCTTAATCCATCCTATTATTTCTTATGCTATGCTGGTGTCCAATGTTATCCTATGCTAAACTGTCCTATCATATTACGTCCTACTATGCTATCCTGTTATAAGCTATCCCCTATGCTATTCTACGATATTTTCGTTGTTTCATTTGAGGTACTACAACCTACACTCAGCTAGAGTACAAACACTAAAACTGTGCAACATAAATACTACTAAATACTGCTAAATTATGATAATTCTATTGTTTTCTATTGTTTGATTAGCACTATTTKGTAGTAAATAGTGGAAAATGTTGCACACATTTAATGTTTGTACTCTAATGTTTCACAAATTTAGATGTAGCTACCTATACTAATTATACTACGGGAATRCGGTCACTTCTAACAATTATTTCACAAACCTTCTAAGCAAGCCAATCCATTCTCCAGAGCATTGTGAGTCTATCGTGAACCTTGACCGCGTCAACGTCTTATAAGCCTGCAATACCGAGGGAATGATACGACTGGACCCATTCACCGTCGACGCCTCACGTAAAACATTAGTTATCAAATACATGACGCTGGGTAAAACCGTTGTTGATGCCTTGGCCGAACAGAGATCTGGAGTCATGGCTAATGTTGATACTGACGTTGATATAAGTTTCGCGATTTCTTCAGAAAAACCTGGAGAACATTGCAATAKATTTTATTACAAATACGGCCGCCATCTTGAATTCTATTATTTTCAGTATCTTTATGGTACTGTGGGATGCCAAGCGGGCATTATACAGGAGATTCATGGGCTGTATGGCTTTGAAAATGCTACGAGATTTATATCATGAGATGTGAAAAACATCAAAAACAAACACATTTGGATGCTTTGAAACCGAATAATTTACATTTTCAAGCATGAGAAAAGAGAAAGTATTTTTTCCCCGCTATTACATTATATAACAGATTTTTTTCTCTTGTCATCCAATAATTTCTTCATATTCAAGATGGCCGYCATATTCGAAATACAGTCTATTAGATAAATAGTACAAAATAGTGATAAATTGTGTTAATTCTATTGTTTCGATACAATAATTTTCTACTAAATAGTTCTAAACATTGAAAACTTGTCTGAACTTTGTCTATTATATCACATTGTATACAGYTATTTCAAAAAACATTGTCAGGGAGAAAGGCAAACGGCGATTGTCGAAGGGAGATTGCACGACCGAAAGGGACAATGGTTACACTGTTTTGATAAACAAAATTTCACTTATTGGATTCACCTTACATAGAAATGGAGACTMAAARGMGCCAATGTTTACCACAGWCCATYTTACAGTACAAATATGTTGTTATTGCCTTTCAATTAGCAAAACCCATGGGTACTTTCGGTCGTGCAATCGCCGTTCGACCATTGACATTCGCCATTTTATCCGACAACCTTTTTTGAAATAACTATATATGCGGTCTTAAACCGCATACGAGTCGCATTGAGCATTGAGTCGCATAAGTTTCCACACTTTGCGAAATTGGGAGAAACAGTGCTTTGTTTTATTTTAGAAGCTTCGCAAAGATTTTCAAACATAGTCGCCATCTTGTTTTTTTTCTCTCTCCTCTCACCGGATATAATGCCGTGAGACTAGAGTCGTTCACTAGAACTGTTGGGCTATTTCGGTACAATTTTTAAGGGTTCAATTCCTCGCACTCGTTCAGTTGATATGAAGAGAAATGACTTGAAGTGAAGGACTAAAAGAGTTTTMGTCTCAAGAACGTCACACTCTAATGGCTTTCAATGGAAGCTGGCTTTAAGTACCGCACTTACAACATGGGAAAATAGTCGTAAAACAGTTGTAAGTTTAGCAAATAACATCTCATATAAGACGAAATATAGTTTCTTTGAGTGTCAGAGCGATATSCATCGCAAAGTGTATTTATAAATACAGGATTGTCAGAGCGGAAGAACGATTGTATGACCAAAATCGGCYATTCAATTTTTGATGGATAACATCCACTATCTACCGAAAAACAAAGACAAGCCAAAAACAAACCGAAGATCTTTATCTAATGGAACAACAGTATTGACTGTCTTTGAAGAGTGAGTTTTGCCATCAATATTCAATACCCATAATTAATTGCGGTCGTACAATCTCCAGTCGCCCGACACAATTTTTTTTAAAATCATGATGCTGTCATCAACTATCACGTATGTCGGAATTATAAAAGACACTAAATACTGCCATGTCCAGCAGAGTTTTGAGATGAATATTGGTTGTGATAAAAAATACAATATCAAAAAGGAAAAAAAAAGAGTTTTTAAATGTCGGCTGCATGCGCGTGTGTTGTTAAGTACGTTCGCTATCGCGTTTAAACTGCCTCTTTTAGAAGATCTGCTTTCATTGTATATAATATGGATTCCGTTGGTAAAGAAGAAAAGAAAACARTAGATTTAGAGTGMGATATCAACTATTTGTCTCACTTATTTATCACGGTCAAATATGAAAACAATTCTATCTTTTTTAAAAGCGGAACAGCACAAAAATCGTATAAAATGTAAATGAGTAGACACGGTTAAAACCAGTGTGTGATGGTTTGTCTTCGATTTCCACTTAAAAAGATTATCATCTCTCGAAAATTACCTCACTCAGACCCCGCAAATTTACAATAGATCTATAGAAATCACACCAGGAGCTGATGGTATCGACCTTTGGAATTCTATATTGCTCAGTTTGATACTTAATTGCGTGTAAGATCGCCCAGAAAYGGAGATTAATATCGTAAGAAATCAAACTGTTTTAGGTTGAAATGAGTTTGCCATGTTATCTCTGTTTATAAATTCATTTTTATAAAGAGCTTTTTATAAACTTGTGAATAGCAGGAAYTAGTGAGACAGTGAGGGRGCCGAAAACCCGTGAAATATATTGCACTAATATTCCTTAGTACGCTCTAATTAAATTGTTTTCTTTTGTGTCTATTTSACTATCACACTTTWWATAGTCGAGTTTTGTTTCACGGGTTAGTGATGACTTCACTCTACTGCAAGACTTTATTACTTTTTATTGAGCAAGATTTTSTTTGTCTTCACGTTACCGGTTTCAAGACTTTCAGTGAATCAAAAATATACTCGGTAGTAGTCGGCTGTCTTTTATATCATCTAGTTCAAGCTGCTATAAATATAGACTTTTTTTCTTTTAACGGTTAATGAAAAGAGAGAGAGAGGAAAAGAAAGAAARRAWAAAAAAACAGACAAAAACACACTCATACATTTCGAGGATATTCTCCGAGGACATTTAAACCTCGGAAAGGAAATCTAATACTCAAGATATAATACCCCAATATCCACAAGAGAAATCAATGGAATTAGCGACTGCTAAATTATATTAGTCTCATATCTATTTCACTCGAGTCTAGTGTAAATGACATGGGATTATCGCTGATTTTTAGTCACAAAAGAAAATGGCCGCTTCAAAACTTATTTGTCAATGTACTTTTTTGTTGTTGTTCATATCGGTTGTAGAACCAAAACAGCATAAAAGGATGAAAAAGTGCTAACCAAATAGTACTTATAGATTAGACAATARAAAACGAAGGAATTCGGAAAATTCAGTACAATTTAAGTACACTACTTAATTACTTAAGTTGTTGATGGATTAGTGTTTGCCACCAAAATAAGGAAAAACAATAGAACACGCTAAAAAACGCTTTAAGTGTCGACCAAGTCTTTAAAAATACACTTTCGAGGATTGCACTAATTCATTTGTGTGGCTTTTTGGTATTGATATATAAACACATATGAAAATATTCTCATTACTGAATCCATGAAATAGAATTTGACTGTGAAAGGAAGAAAGTCAGACATAAAAGAAAACAATGATATTTTAGAGTTTAAGGTATATTAAGAAAGTAAAAATGTTGTTGTTGTCTTGACTCCATATTATGTGTTGTYGAGTGGGTTTTTTTAGCTTTCGGTCTTTGTAGCGAATTAAGGACATTACAAAACACAACATGAACCAGTTTATTTAATATCGAMGGGTTTAGAAAAAATAATTGATTCAAAAATCGAAAAGTCAAGCTTTAAAAGAGTGAATGTCAAAGTATTCTTCGTTAAGGATTATGACAGGCACTCGGATTGAAATAGCGGTCGTTTTACAGCAAAAAAAATCCTACTAAAACTCAAGGATGAGGGCAGCTGATCTCAAAACCATCTAAATGATAATAATCCCCCATTATTAGAGTTTTGTTTGAAATTGATACCAAATCAAAYGATTAAAACCAGAAAAGCTTTCTTTCCAAATTGCATGTCATGTGTGTATTTGATTAGCACGTTTTTCAAACCTCACCACAACTTTTGATAAACTCAATTTGAATTAGATATAATTATGGGAATAATTTATTTAGAAAATACTGATGTCGTTTTTCGTTTTTGCTATACAACAGTTCCTTGTGAACTGGGAATGAACACGCTAGTCCGTATTTGTGTTAAGCGTACAATTCGCAAAGCTTCGTCGTAACTCGGCGGCGGWGTTGTGGGACTTTGATCACAAAATATAGCGCTATATCTWGGAGGTCCATCGTCAGGTAGAGATAGTCTACACTCAGATCTGTCATTACATATGTTCCCWGCACTTGAAGCTTCGCAACGACAAACATGACGCTCGCAAACTTCGTTGTGAGGCGACGTAGGRCTTAAATCGTCAAATCTAAGACTTCCAAGTTGRTAGTCTTGTCTGCGGAGACGAAAACGAAAACAYTGGCAACATATCCATGCGAAAAACAACAAAGCCACAATCCCGGCTATCAGAAGTCCAAGAATCGAACTCGATTCTTCGATTTTTGAGAAGGGTTTAATGTCAACGTCGTTCCCAGTTGCACCAGGCCGCCATTTTTTTATACACGATGCAGAATTACAAGCAAAGCCAGTTGGGCAGTCTTTGACAGAATAACAACCATTAGTGCAATAGCCGTTCGAGTTACAGTGCTGTCCGTTTGGGCAGTCGTTATTATAGCGACAGAAGCCATTACACGACACGCGATCGACACACTCGCCAAGGCAGCACGAAATATTGAATTTACAATGCCTTTTTTCAGTGCAATAGCCATTCACACCTGGCATAGAAAGAAATACAAGAAGAGAAATTACTACACCACGCTTCATCTCTGCAGGAATTCATTGAGGACTTTCAAATTGTCAATTTAAAGTAGCCGTCTTGCTTGAAAGAAGTCACTTTGTGAACAATGCTAATTGGTGAAGTAGACTTTTGAGCCAGGGGAAATACTACAATCTGCTCGATTTTTAATGAATATCACAGGACWGGRGATATCACATATATCCGAGTTCATGCATTATGCATCAGAAACCTGAGAAAAACACTCATTAATCCAAAGTTGTCATTTCCTAACTATACCTCTTGTTTGGGCGAAAGAATTTCAAGATGCAATGAGGAAAAATAACAGGAGTTCCCTTCCAAACTGCTCTTTTAAACAGCAATATATCACAGTCTTTGATACAGAACAATTCTATTGGATTATTCAAACACCGTATCCATTCATGGCTTTTGTGGAGTTTCGGGTTTGTGATAGGGCAGCCRACAAGGCAAACTGTGTTCAATTCTATGCAAATTACAGTAAAACTGAGTGGAAGATTTTCATCTCAACGGCCGGATGTTCAAGCGGCCACGGGGCGACAACAGATCTAGTTTCCATAGTTACTCCATCAATAACCTAGTAGTTCAATGGAAACCCGCAATGCGCTCGGTCAATAAGCATTTAACTTCATAAACTCAGAAGACGTTCTGAAGCACCATGTATAAAGACAATCACAGATATACCATGATGTAACACTGATATGACGCGATAAAATACTCACGAACGAGCATAACTATCTTTAGGGTATCGTGGTTCTTTATTACCTGCTCAATTAAAAAACGAGTCAACCAAAATCTAAAATGTTTATGGAATAATAGGTTCATAACAATTAGGCGCTKGAGGGCACGCAATTTTGTCAACAAAACTCCATAAACACGCAAAATCTCGTCAAATCACTTGGGCGAAAAAGAAAACCATAACGCCTTCACGAAAAAAAAAWTTGACATTTCAGTCATTTGACTCGAGATTTTATTCTTTTTATTACTACCAATAAAGAAACCGGCACCTTGTCTTCCTTAAAGCGTGAATATGAAATTAAGAAGAAAAAGTTAAAAGTTTAGTGTGAATAAGGCATAAGAGGGATATGAAGTAAGTAGGTCGGTCCATTACAGAACACAAAAACAACAGCGATAGGTGGTGACGTACTTTCACCGATTCAGGGAAAAAAGTAATCATCCGAATTTCAATGAAAAAGAACAAATACTGCACTGTAATCTCACATTTAAATTAAAAGAGAAAAAACAAATAGCCGTTACACACYAAATTATGTTTACCTAATAACCGTTTCCCAAAAATCCCGAGAAAAACTCTTTCTTTTGCCGTAATCTGAGAGGATTTTCATGGATTTTACAGTTTTTGACAAATAACTTCCCATTTCGATTGGATTATGTGATAAAAAGTAGAATAGGTATTTTGTAGTGAGTTTAGCAACAGCAGGAGTTGACTGACGAGTACAAATCACGCAATATGACAACAAACATTTGTTAAAGACGAATAGGTGGACTATGAATAAATGAATTAGTGAAAATGGGTAGATGAATGGTTGAAACAATAAGGGGAATCAATGGATTATAGGATAGATAAAGCCGGGATAAAATGAATGGATGAAGATATGAGCAAATATCTAGTTGAAGAAATGAGCGCCAAAAGTACAAATGGATGATTGTATGACCTGACGAATAAATGAATAAATCAAACGGAAGAATAAAAAATGAATGAAAAACGAATTATCTTGTTAAGTCTTGTTATTGAATGAATGAAATGATGAACGTATTGATTGTCCAGCAGATGAAAAACGTCACCATAAACGGTCGAGATTCAAACATTCGACAAGCAGTCTCGTTTCTCTGATAAATATTGAAGTTAAAATGCAATACAAATTTTGACCCGCTCGCCACAGTGTAGAGACTAATTAAATCTTAATGTTTTCGCGAAGTTTTAGGCAAAAGCAACCAAATAAACAATTATCTAATTAATTWTCTTCACGACAAAACGGATCCAAGGAGTTTTCTTACAAATCCTCGAGACTCCGCCTGGAGAGAGTTCAAACTTTAAGTTTATTGCTTTGATCTAAATTTGTGAAGAAATATAGAGTCAAAGTTAGAAAGAAAAGCCGAATATAGTAACTACATTGAATCACTCGCAACACTGAGTTGTGAAAAAAAACTCTTAGCGAAAATGGCTATTAGCATTTCGCTAAATATTACTACACCATAATGACTAAGGCTTTACTCAATTTTAAATAATTACAAAAAATACTAAACGCAAACAAAACTAAGGTAAATGAGAAAGAACTGCGACATACTAGTAGATGCTGCAGCGGGAAAAAACATATCGAAGCGAGCGATGGGGCATCGTTAAATACGCGATGTCAAAAAAGTGGCGGCAAAGCAGAAAACCCCGACTATTACCGCCTCTTAAAATTGTAGGCTTGAGATCTTGTAAACAGGATATTTCAGCAAAAACAACAAAAAGTCACTAAAAGGCAAACAGATGAATCCAAGAAATGATTATTTTGATTTTCGCACTTCTGGGTTTCCTGTGTTGATACAAATACCRTTAACTCCGTCTCTGCGCTCTTAAACTTTTAAGTTAAACTTTTTAAGCTAACAGTGGTCACAAAAAAAGTGACTATTTCCATTATGTCATGTTAAGTTTTGAAATATAGTCAACTCTCGCCTTGAGTACATGCTGTTATAACGGACACTTAATTAAACCCAARTTACAAATTAAATAACTTAATAAATAACTTAGCTATACAACAGACACGCGATATTGACGACGCTTATTTACTAACCCGCACTAGGGAGTCCGTTATAACCACAGTTGATTGCATCCGGCAATTTTTGAGACGAATTATGCTGGAGCCACCTTAATTTTATAAGCACGGCAAGCGCATGCGTACTTACAAATACGCMCTTATGTAGGAGCACAATCTCGTACCCTGAACCTGCGCTCTCTTTCGGTGAGCGACAAGAACAAGGCGCATGCGTATTTACAAAAGCAACCTTTGCGTTGATGTCACCTTAAATAGACGTGTCACTCCGCACGCGTAAYTACAAAAACACGCTTTTGTTGCAGCCACCTTAAGTAATGTAACGCGCAAGCGCACTAAAGCACACTTACTGGTCGTAGAATGATTGACAGCAACTAATAGCCCACTAGGTTTCTTGCTCGAAGGCGACGGGGGRATGAGAGTAGGGAACTGCCGTGTAAGAACGCACATACAGATCTCCATAACCCCAAACACTACAGACTTGCCAGGGGCTAGATCTTCTTCTCCTACACTTGACGACTCGTTGTTTACTCTAAAATGCAATGAAAGATCGTTATTTGCCGGACAGGTTTAAGAACTGATAGGAATAATCGAGAAAATGCGTAAATCAGTTGAGAAAAATTAGTTGCGAAATCAAAGAATGGATGCAAATTGAAGTGATAATGGATTTGTGAAAAGGTTAAAATTAAAAAAAAAAGAAATGAGGGAATTTTCGTTGATTATTGTAAAGAGAGGGGCAGTGTTTAGTTCGTTTAAAAATTCAAATTTAAACCCCTGAAATAAGAAAACGTACCCCAATCTTGGCCCTTTGACAAAAACTACACCCCGTCCCAATTATTTTAATGCAGAAAAATGCACCCCCTATCAACAGTCTTTCTTGAAAAATGCATTAACATCGCCCCCTCCGAACAKTCCCTTACTTTGAAGCGTCAAGTTGCGAATGTTGTGCTTCTTGCGTTGCCTTGGTGATCTGTTGAACGACATCCATGACACACTGCTGTATTTCGTGAGTATCTCTAGTTAGTATGATACGATGTAGAACGTTCAGCATCTCAACTGCAAGCATCTGAAGACATGACAAGGTTGGTATTATATCTATTTCCTTTGGCATTTCCTCTGAATATCGAGATTTGGTCAATCTTAGATTAATTAATTGATCGATAATTGATTGATTGACTGATTGATCGATAATTGATTAATCAACTGATTAGTTGATCGATAATTGATTGACAGATTGATCGATTATTGATTGATTGACTGATTAATTGATCGATAATTGATAAATAAACTGATTGATAATTGATTGACAGATTCATTGATCGATTATTGATTGACTGATTAATTGATCAATGATTGATTGATTGTCTGATAAATTGATCGATAATTGATTGATTGACTGTTTAATTGATCGATTCTGATTGAGTGATAAGGGATTCAACGATTGATTTGAAGGTAGACTGACTAATTGACTAGCAGATCTATTTATGATTGATTAACTGATCAATGATTAATTGATTGATTGATTTTATGATTGATATGTCTTGCTGCAAGATGTTTAGAGATTAGATGATTTATGAGACTTCTTGGTGGTGTAGTTTTATAAGTGAGMTWGCATGTKAAGATTAATGAGACGATTTTATAGTTGGTATCRCAAACCCTGAACAATTGTTTTCTCTTGATCTTTTTTTGTTTACCAACAAAAGCTAAATGAAAAGAAATCTTTTCCACTATCTAACCGTGAATCGTACCTGTTGGTTACCGATTATTTCACGTTGTTTTGGTGAGTCCAGAAGACTATAAAACGCATGTAAACAGGCTGACACGGTCGCGTTGGACTGAGTTGACCGAGATGAGCACAGGGACTCCATACAAATGCCCACTAACAGATGAAAACGATCTTTGTTGATCTCAGTCTGTGTCTTGCATGTCGTTACAAATGAATTCCCAGAGAAGTCTGCAAAGATTCGACAAATACAAGTTATGTATGAATTCATTCATGTGAACCAGTCCTCTCTCTTCCCTTTTTTACACAGGAAGCCCACATTATTAAAGACTGAAAGGGCGAGATGCCTACACAGTTTAGACTGTAAGCTAGCACAGGTGAAGGAGAGTGGTGGTCCCGGCTGGTAGTGAAGTATCTTACCTGGATTTGACACGACGGGTTCATTTGATGCCATTTCAAAGCCTCCATTACTCAACCAAAGCGCCGTAGCATGGACAAGAGACGGCCAGCAGTTCCTGTAGTGAGGGCGAGCTTGCTCCATGGAGTCAGGACTGCAACAGAAAGCAAACCAATAACATCGATTAATGGACAAGAAAGTAAAAGACAAAAAAATGAGAATGAGAATTAGACTAAGAAGCATAATGCTAGCAATGAAAACAATCGGAAACGACAGTCAAGAAAAATGTAAACGTAACTGGAACAATACTGAGGCATTTCCATATTTTGGTACGATCAACCAAACTATGGGCTATCGTGAATTATCAACTTGTAGTCCAATCAACCCCGCCGTCTAATTTTTAATTAGTTAATGTACAAAGCGCATTTCTCAAGCGTTGAAAACCTGTTTTGAAAGAGGAATGAAAGTCTCATTCTYAAACATGCCACATTCACTCTATGAACCAAACAGAGAATTTAAACATTACCTGTAGAACATCCCGCCTTGAGCAGGCATCTGTGGACCATATTCGGGGGGTAGAGTCAGTAGGGCGTGGTCTTTAAGTGCCCCTAACCAGTATTTACTAAGTGACTTGAGCTCAGGCTCCACGAGTTGTAATAGCGATCCAGGCGGTTCTGCACCATAATCTTCCTCTGATAAAGGTTGTGGTGGGGCGGATTTTTGCTTTATTGCCACTATATACACCTGTCAATCAAATGTATTTATAGTTTAGTTAAGGTGGTTCCAGTCTAATTGAGAGCGGATTTTTGATTTATCGCTGCTATATTCACCCGTCAATCAAATGTATTTATAGTTTAGTTAAGGTGGTTCCAGTCTAATTGAG